ACCCCCACTTTTCCTACAACACTAGGAACCAGTTTCCCTTAAGCAAGGTCACTGGCAAAGACTTTTGCAGCAATGGCACCTCCCAGCTCGGGCTAAACCAGCCTGGGTGACATGTCTTAGTTTGTCCAAACCCGTTTTCTCGTCCAATTAAGTCAGGGCAGCCTCATGCACTTAAAGCTTCCCTGCTCCCTGGAGGAAAATGCCAAACCTGTCAGAGAAAACAAACAGGGGCTTTCCTGAGCCTGTGTGTGTTCTGATTAACAAACCTATTAGGCTATAAAACCCGGGACCCCTGTTCTCCCGGTAAGAGCATACATTAGGGAGCTGTTGACAGTTCCTAAGTTTGACCCCTTGCACGATTGCTGGAGACCTATCAGCAAGTCAAAAGGAAAGCCACCAAGACCTCTTTGTTCCTGGGGTGGCGGGGCGGGGGCATGGAGAAGTATTTTGACACGCAGTAAATGCCAGATGTACCGCTGTTTTAATCTGTAACATGGGAGGCCAACGTGGGAGAGGGGTGGGCGAGCTGGGAGGGAAGAGGGAAAGGAGGAGGAGCCTGAGCGCTTTATTAAAAGTCAAGTTCCTTCGGTGAGTTGTTTGATAGTCTCCAGGCCTGGCTGATGCAGGCTGCGGTATGGGCTCACTCTGAGCAAAGGTTCGGCTGGGTGTGGGGAAGAGGCTGCTCCGGTGGTTCAGAGAGAGGCCGCTTGGAGTGTTTATGAGGCTCCTATGGGCTTTGCCACACACCCACAGTTGCTCTTTGACATCTCAGAGGCCCATTGAAAAGTGCTGTCCTCTGCATAGCGACTTGGAAGGACGTTTCATCTTGAGTTCACGGGGGATATTGTAATCGTTCTTCAACCAAGCAAGTTGTACACAGGGATGGGCGAATCTCCTAATTTGGGACTCTCGTCATTCCAATCCTAAATTCAGATCGACACACCTCTGCAGCAATTTGACACACACACACACACCACACTCCTCATTAAAAAAACCCCATCTGGATTATAGTGTGGATTTCTCCTCATTTGCACAATTTCTGCTAGGCAATTTCCCATAATGTAATGCATTTTTTAATGCCATTTTCACTAATATAGGCACACTTGACCCCAGTAGATGCATTCATGTACACCTTGTTTCACTGGGAGACTGCACTGCAAAATTTGGAGAAGTGTGGATTTTGAAGGATGACTAGGCTGCTTGCAAACAAATTAGAGAAGGCCCACTACAATTGAAGAACCTAAATCAGTCCACTCCATTAATGTCAGCAGGTGTACTTTGCGGAGGACTAGCATGGGAGCCATCCTGTCTGCTTCAGCACTTTGTTCTCACAGTGGCCAACCAGACACCATGGGAAGTCTACAAGTGGGATCTGAGCACAGCACCACTCTCCAGGACCTGCAATTCCCAGCAACGTATTCAGAGGCACCCTGCAGCCAACAGTGAAGGTAGATAGAGATCTCCTCCATGAATTTGTCTAATCCTCTTTTAAAGCCATCCAGGACGGTGGCCATCATTGCTTCCTGTGGGAGTGAGTTCCACAGTTTAACTGTGCACTGCATGAAGAAGAAATGTCTTTCGTCTCTTCCAAATCGTCCAACGTTCAGTTTTGTTGGATGGGCCCGGTTCCTGGTATTATCGGAGAGGCAGAAAATGTTTCTCTATCCACTTTCTCCATGCCACACATCATTTTAGATGCTTCTTCTGGCATGTCTCCTCTCCCTCACCTTTTTCCTGGTTAAAAAAAGCCTTAGGTGTTCTAGCTGCCCCTCACAGAGGAGTTGCTCCATCCCTCCGAACAGTGGGACAGGAGAACACAGCTTGATATCATCTATGGGGTATGAATTGAGACTGTGTATACACCATAACATCTAAATCACATGACACACACCCCACAAGAATTTTGGGAACCACAGTTTGCCAAGGGTGCTGGGAATTGGAGCTCTTACAGTGTAAAACTACAGCTCCCGGTTTTCCTATTTTTTTTGGGGGGGGGGAATGTAATTGAAATGCATGGTGTGTACACAGCTCAGATCTAAGCCCTGGAGAGAGCTGGATGATAAGACCTCACTCCTGGACCTCTGCATCTCCGCTCCTTGTGAATCGCAGTGGGGTCCCTGCTGGGTGTACGTGGGGAAATTCTGCTGAAGGGGGTCTCAGTGTAATGCCGATCCCAGCCAAAAATTGGTTACACCTCCTTGGGTTACACCCCAGAGGAGTCCTCTGCTTGTGGGAAGGATGGGCCTCATGCGGGAGAAGCGAAGACAGGGAATGAGATAGGCTTACCCCCCTCGTCACCATTTCCCAGAGGTCCTGTGACATGTAAATAGACGGCCTGGATCAGAGGAGGGACAGCAGAAAGGGATGCTTAAGGGTGGGTGGGTGACACACACACACACAACATTGCTCCTGGCTTTAAGAGGATTGCGGGTGCCCCAGCTCCTAATCAGAGCTGTAAAAAGACGGATGGAGCCAGCAGCACACCAGACTAAGTGCTGGATTAATTGCTTTGCTCTCCGTGATGCTGAAGGCTGTTTGGGGCTTAGGGGGAACACCGTGGGGGACTTTCTCAGGACTGTAAAGTGGAGGATGGAGGGAAGGGAAAGGATAAGTTACTGGGGTGGGGCAAGGAAGCTTCTAACTATGGGGTTTGGCATGGTTGGGAAAGTCAGACACTGCCTTATTTTTATTTACAAAATTTATACACCACTTGATTGTAGCAAAAGCCTCCAAGTGGTTTATTGAGGAAGGCAAAGACTTATCACTAAAATAAAAATAAACACACAGCAATAATTTAAAACATTTAAAAAGTACAGACAGACGGAAAGAAACCAATGCCCCCATCAGCTTTCTAAGCATCTGGGTTGGCTTGTCAAAACCAGAATGATTTTAGCAGGCACTGAAAAGCATGAAGAAAGAGAGAGAGAAATACTTGCATAGTAAAAAATAAAATAAACATTTTCATGATTTCCATAGCATCGTTCAGTCATGGCCCTATGGTCCTTTTTGGTGGCTGCCCCCAGACTTTGGAATGCCCTGCCTAGGGAGGTAAGACTGGCTCCCTCCTTGTGGTCTTTCCACCGGCAGATGAAGACCATCTTATTCCAAGAGGCTTTTGGGAACTGACTGCTTTTAATGAAATGCTGGTGCTGTTTCTACACTGACCTTAGCTCAGGATAAAACAGCTTTCTGTGTCCCTGGGTCTTAAGGGAAGGTCAGCACCAGAGCACCAGCCTTGAATGCAGAAGGTCCCAGATTCAACCCCTGCCATCTCCAGGTATGGCTGTGAGAGACTCTGTCCAAATCATACATATAACTCAAGTGGTAGAGCATGAGAACCAACCCCTTAATCACAGTGTTGAGGACTCAAGCCCCACATTGGGCAAAAGATCACTGCCTTGCAGGGGGTTAGATGACGCTTGTGGCCCCTTCCAACTATACAATCCTATGATTCTATTAAACCCCGAAAAGCCACTGCCAGTCTCTGTAGACAATACTGAACTGGGTGGGCAAAGGATCAGTTTTGGCATAAGCCAAGTTCCTATGTGGAAATTCCACGTTCACTCAGATTTCGAGGCTTGGCAGCAAGACTGCTTCTCCCTCTTCTTCTTTCCTGTTGACCTGGGAGGATTGTCTGCATGTGAGGCTCTTTCAACTCCTGCCTGTCTCCATCTGCACAAGGCAGAGATGCAGCAAAACTCCCTCTGTTTCTCTCCCCGCATTTATCTCAGCACAGTCCTGCAGGTGGCATAGCAAGCCCTGTGATCTCAAGCAGAGGCAGCGGCGGAAGTAGCAGCACGGAATCTGCTCCAGATCTTGTGCTGTAGAACGGCAGGAGTCCCCGGTCTAAATTTCAAGGTATTCTAGCCCGTCTTGGCCAATTAGCACAAAATTTGCTTGTGGAGTCACAGAAAGGCCTAGCAGGCCATCCTTCCTTCTATTACTGATGTTCATACGGTGTGTGCCATTAATTATGTCAATAACAGGAACAAGCAAATCTGTCAATTTCAGTTTCTCCTTTTCCCAGTTTTAAGTTCAATTTCCTACATTGGTTTTTTTCCCCTTTTCTTTTTGAAGAAGAAGAGGAGGAGGAGGAGGAGGTCCACATGAAAATTCACCAGCATCTTAGCAGGGATTTCTTCAAATTCGCACACTCTTTGTATGGCTGATGTAGACACTTCTGTAAGGCAATGTATTGTTGTATGTTTCTGTCAGGGGTTCAGGGACAGAGGCACAGGTGAGGGAGGAGACGGAGAGCGATGGGGAAGAATCCCAGGACAGTGAGGAAGAGGATGACAATGACTCGAGGGATTCCATGAGTCTTTCAAGTGAATCGGAGGATTCCCAGAAGGGGGCGCCGGTGGTCAGGCCAAGGGGAGTCACAGGGGGGACTCTTCAGGAGCAGGGGGCCAGCAGAGGATCCCCAAGTGGGAGCTGGGAGTCAGGACCGGCTTCCCCACCAGAGCGCAGTGAAGGGGGTGGAGATTCCAGTGTGACAGGGGAAGCAGCTCCGTCAACAGAGAAAGGGGGAAGGTCGGAGCAAGACAACCTCCCGGAAGGGGAGGGGAGTAGTGCAGGGAGTAGTGTAACTGTCAGGAGGAAGGTTGGCGGTTGCGAACGCGCACCAAGTTCAAATGTGGAGGCGCGCGGAAGAACAGGGAGTCCGGAGGAGGAGCCAGGTCCCAAAGCCCGCAGGAGGGGGCAAGAGCTGTCTGGAGATTCCGCGTCAGAGGAATCCAGGAGGGGCGAAACCCCAGGGGGCAGAAAGACCCTGCGGAAAAGGAAGGAGAGGAAGAGGTGGAGCAGCTCAAGCTTATTAAATTGGTGTAGGGGAGGGACCGACTCAGAGGGGACTTCAGCGGTCTAAGGGTTACAGACGTGGGGCTGCGCGCCTCGGCTGTGGAAGAAACAATGTACTTCAAATAAAGACTTTTGTAAATAAAGTGGACTTGGCGTTGGTCTCTTGTGAGCTGGGACCTGGGCAGCCCTGACAGTTTCTATCACTACTATATGAATTTCAGTTATACACGTTATTGGGCCGGAGAACCACATTGCAAAATTCAGAGAAGTGGATTTTGAAGGGTGGCTGTGTTTTGCTACATTTAAAGCATGATGATACCGCTTTAAACATGACTTCCCCCAAATAATTATGGGAGCTGTAGTTAAGGGTACAGCTCCCAGACTGGTGTACATATAGAGATATATTAAAGTTTCTGGAGGAAGTTGTTAATTGAACAAACAAGAAGAGGTCCAGAAATGGGTGGTGGGATGAGATGAAGAAGGAGGCTAACAACCAAAGTTGCTCCATGGGCTAGTTGTAAATCAGGAGTAGAGAGGTGCAATCTACCTGAGGGCAGACTGGGATTGGAGGGGCTGTGCCCCACTTGCCCTAATAAACCAGCCTCCTCTGCTGTGTCCCTCAACCTCTTTCTTACCTGTCAACATTTGTCAATGAACAGCTGAGAGAAGCCACATTGAGTTTTGAGCCTCTCAGTGACGCTTTCATTCGTTCATCCATTCATTCATATAATAACCTATATAGCAAAATCTCTAAGCAGTTCTCACCATTTGCAATCATAAAATGGCAAGCAAAAAGGCTTACATAAGATCAAAATGCAGTAATGCTCCAGTAAAACATTTAGCAAAACATTGAAGGAAATGATGCTATTACGATGCTTTGAAAAAAAGGCATACTGGCCCATATTCACACCCTAAACTGTGGTTAACCTTAACTACTGCTTGTCCAGAAAATGCTTTGAAAAAAGAAACATAGTGGCTCATGTTCACACCCTAAACTATGGTTAACCTTAACTACTGCTTGTTGAAACAATGGTTTGGGAGAAAAAGAAACCCAGTGGCCCATGTTCACACCCTAACCTGTGGTTAACCTTAACTACTGCTTGTTAAAACAAGCTTTGGACGTCCAAAGCACTTCCCTTTCTCTTTGCTCAATGCTAAGGCTCTCGATTAGGTACATTTTCTCTACCTCTTGGAATGCTGTTCCCTGACTTGTTGAGTCTTACCCTTTTCATTCCTCCCTTTGGCCCCCTTTCTCCCGTGTTTGCTTTCCTGCTTGTTTTTGGCAAGCAGATGCTGGATGTCAAGCTTCCTTGCTAGCTGTCACACAAGAGGGTGGACGGGAGGAGGGGTGCATTCCCAAAGTCGGATTCGGGGGGGAGGGGTGTCTCCAGAGAGCAGGGAAAGTGGGGATGAAGCAGCAGCTCTGTTGACAAGGAGAGATAAGAGCAATGATGGGAAGGCATTTGGGTGTGGTGCTTTGATGATGCAGAGATCAGGTTTGTCTTCCTGCTTGAGGGCAATCTCATGTACCCAGGCACCTACAGTTGACCATATATCCCCCCCTCCAACTCCACAATCAGCTACATTCTTGGTCTTAGCTGTAGTTCATCTAGGGATAGGCGAGAACTTTGATCCAGTTGTTAGGTATTTAAAGGTGTGATTTGCAAAACAATGCAAGAACTGAAACACAGCCATTCTTTGAAATTCGTAATGCCTCTGAATTTTGCAATGACATTCTTCAGCCAGGTAAGCTGTGCATGTAAGAAATTCTTATATTAGTGGGGGGACAGACATAGAAAAACACATTGTGTTAAAGGAAATGTTTTTGTATTAGACAAAATTGCATACAAAATATGTGCTTATTTGGGGTAAATGCGCAGTAAGATGCTAGGATAAAGTGTGCATTAAATTTATGTATTCATGTAAATAACATACAATAATGCATAATATATAGGGCAAATATTAGTGAAGAAACATAACAAATATTTCATTTATTTATTTTTATTTACTTATTGCATTTATATCTTATTGCACTTTTTTTTCTAAGAAGATAAAGGTGGTGCACAGGGTTCTCCTCTTCCTCATTTAATTCCACAGCAACTCTGGGAGGTAGGTTAGGCTGTGAGAGGCAGTGAGCTTCATGGCCGAGTGAGGATTTGAACCCAGATCTCCCAGGTCCAACAAAATTGCACGCGAATGTGTGCATATTAGGAGAAATCCACACTAAAATGCTGGTGGGTCTTCATGAGGTTCACAAACCGGGGTGGAAATGTCGAGCACTGAGCTGAAAATCTGAAAAAAGAAAAGAAACTAAGAGAGAACAAAGCCACATTCTCAGATGTATGTGAGTGCCTTAGAAAAAAAGACACATCTAGTCTCTGTTCCAAGATTTAACCCCCAGAGAGTGTGGGGAGGGGGAACTAGACTGCAATAAAGTCTGTCCAGGGTTCAAATCCTTCGCTCGGCTGCACGATGCACATCAGGTGACCTGGGGACCGTCCCACTTGACCTCACAGGTATGTCATAAGGACAAAATGCGGGAAGGAAGATGCGAACCATATAGGTAAAGGTAAAGGACCCCTGAATGGTTAAGTCCAGTCAAAGGTGACTATGGGGTTGCAGCGCTTATCTCGCTATTAGGCCGAGGGAGCCGGCGGGAGCCAGAAACACCGTGACGGAAACCAGAACGCATGGAAACGCCGTTTACCTTCCTGCCGCAGTGGTACCTATTTATCTACTTGCATAGGCTTGCTTTCGAACTGCTAGGTTGGCAGGAGCTGGGACAGAGCAACGGGAGCTCACCCTGTTGCAGGGATTCGAACCGCCAACCTTCTGATTGGCAAGCCCAAGAGGCTCAGTGGTTTGGACCACAGCGCCACCTGCATCCCTGGACGAACCATATACACCATGCTGAACTCATTGTGGGAAAGTGGAGATATAAATGCAACCATAAGCAAATAATCAATAATGCTGATGGTGGGTGGGACTGAAGTCAGAGATAGGAAGGGCATCCTCTTCTCTTTCATTCTCACTCTCACACCCCCTTTTCTCCCTCCCTCTCTCTGCCACCCCTTTTCCCTCATCCCCTGTTCTTGACATCTGCATGACACTCAGCCAAGGGTTGTGGCCTTCAGACTGGAGTCTCCCCAAATCTGCCTTCACAGGGTCCTAATTTGGTTGAAACAGAGGTGTTGACTTACCTGTGTCAACTCCCAGGAAAAAAAAGGCCTGCCAAGGTGAGCAAAGAGAGTCAAGGAATATGCATTTTGTTTTGTTTTAGGGGTGGGGTCTCGAGGATTAAGCATTCGAGGCCATCCATTCCTAGCTATCCTTCAGTCTCAACACCTCTCATTTTAGAAGCGAAGTCCTGGCTCTCCTTTCCCCGCAAAGAACCTCAACCACCGCTCCATTCCCCGGCGGGTAGGAGACTGGGATGTCCAATGCCTGACTCTGTGGCTCGGATCCGGCCTTCAAAGTCCATTCCACATTGATTAAAACCAGCTGGCCTCTGTGGCAAGCAGTTTAGAAAGCCAGATGTCTTGAGCCACAGAACTGATATTTCCTGCCCCATCTGCAAACATTTGACTGTCCACCCGTGTTTGGGCATTAAAGCCACAGCCTGCTTTTCCTTCTCTCTCTCTCTCTCTCTCTCTCTCTCTCTCTCTCTCTCTCTCCGCCGTCTCCTGTCTCCTTCCAGGGTGACAGTTGAGAAGGGAGAAGTCCCTTCAGGCTGGTTTGTCATCATTGCAACCTTCTATCCCAGTCCGAGCTCGGGAGGCGGGAGTGGGGGCCCTCCACCCATTTCTCTCATTCTCCCCCACCTTGTTCCAAAACCACCATACATGCCTTGGCGTGTGTGCACTGACCCCAGCGTGCTCCCAAACTGACCAGCTAGATCTGAATCCACTTACAGGGAGAAAGGATAAAGCAATTTTCCCTGGGTTACGGCATAAACTGTTTAGTCTTGCCCGTCTGGAAAGGCTGGTAATGAGAGGGTGTCCATCTAGGCAATCACTTCTGTCTCTCCTTAGTCTATAAACCTGGGAATGGTTTAATCTTTTAACACAGCAGCTGGCCTCTCAGATGATTTTCTAAAAACATTATTATTGTTGTTATTGTTATTATTAACAGGATGCAATGTTTTTCATTGTTCTCTTGCAGAAACAGGACATTAATGCACAGATGGTATCAGTTATTGCTTTGCAAGCTATACGTTGAAACAGAAAATCATAATCAATGGTCCCAACATTAGGGCGTCATAATTCATCAATCCCACATTAGGAAGTTGCAATCCATCAACTTGACATGAGAACAGGCAATGGCTTACTGGGACCCAGTTCAGCTCCTGGTGTAAGTCACAGGCACTCAAGAACAGGGCGAGGTCCAGCTACGCCAGGTCCTGGTTTGGCCCTGTGAATTTTGTTTTCTTTGCAATATATAATTGAATTCAATACTCTCTGAAATGGATGAGCTGGCTGCTTTGTGCTGAGGACAGGGCACTACAGCCAGGGGGTTAGATGGCCCTTCCTTTCTGGGATGCTTACAGTGCAAGTTGATAAGTATCTGTACCGTACATCCCGGACCACTCCTCCTCCCCCCGTCTCTGCAGCAATGCAATAGAGATCCATGGACATTTCATTGGATTGGCTTTTTCAAAAGTGGACTGACCTGATTCACGCTTTGCGGACTATTGCTAATGCAAATTTATCCTTTGATTTTTGCATTTCCCCAAATTTTGCAATGCAGTTCTTAGCTTACAACGAGAGAAGTGTACCAGAATGCGTATTAAAAATTGCATTTTAGGTTAGAGTGTATTTTTGGGTAGAGTAGATACATACAAATTATGTGGATATTCATGCATTTTAAAAAAATGCATGCACACACACACACACACACATAAAGGGGGAGAGAGAGATATGCAGAAATGGGACAGAACTGAATTAGGGACAAAGCTTGCGGAACTGACACCAAAGAGATAGAAACTGACTATTCCATCCCTAAAAATGCAGGCACCTCACAGACATGCTTGACCTATATCATCCAACAGAGGACAGACCCCACAAACTATCCTGTTCACAACAAGTCACCATTCTTTATGGGTCTTTTTGGAAAGCTTTGCTCACATCACACCATCCCTTGTATTGAGTGTCCTGTGGACACCTTTGGAATGCTCATGTTTGATCAGGTTTTTGTAATAAGGTAGAAGCCTACCTTCTTATCTGCAAAGTTACATGGCAAAAATACCTGTATGTGTAATATCAAAAAAGATACCTAAAAAGAGTCCATCTCCATGGGCTCCTACACTCCCGTAGCATCATTTGATAAGCATTATTATGCATGTATTTGTATACTGTGCATAGGAGCCAACTTCTAGGTGCCGAGGTCCCTTCAGCCCCCCAATAAAATATTTGAGGGTTGCCAGCCCCCTCCGCAAGCTGATAGGCATCACCAGTCAAATGGTGTGCTTATACTGCCTCTTGTGATCAATTATGCTGGGTGGGGCTTACCTCCCCCCCCCCCATATTTTATTCAAGTTGGCACTTGTAATTTTGTAGCTTTTATTTTTCAATAAAGAATATATAATAATAATAAAAAGTTGGTACCCCATGTATATTCATATAAAATGTACAATAATGCATATAATAGTGTGTTGTTGCATCATAAAAATGCATTGCACAGCACATAACTAAGCTGCAGAACTCACTCGCATGAAGGCTGCAACCTGGATGACTTTAAGGGAGAATTAGACAAATTCATGGAGAGCAATGGCTACTAACCATGATGGCTGTGCTTTACCTCCACTGCCAGAGGCAGTATGCCTTTGAAAATCAGTTGCTCAGAATCACAAGTGCTCTTGTGCTCAGGTCTGGTTCATGGGCTTCCCATAGGCTTCTTCTCACAGAGGTGTAGCATGGGTTGCCAGTACCCGGGGCCACATGGGGCTGGGAGGGAAATGGACGGAGTACGCATGCACACTCAACTGCCTAACACCATTCACCTCACCCAGGAGATTGAAGCCACAGAGACAATAAAAGAAGAGTCATTCTCTTGTCTACAGAGGTCACTTCCTAGTTTACATGGAGAAGCCATCACATGGAACCCAGCGATGGAAGCATGCAGCTGTATTGAGGCAGCACTGGGTGTTGAAATTTTGTGCCCCTAACAATATTGTGCCTGGGGCAACCCCCCTCCCCATGCTATGCCACTGGAACAACCACTGTGAGAATAGGATGCTGGACTAGATGGACGACTGCCGTGATTCAGCAGGGCTCTTCTTAAGTTCTGATGGGTTGATTTAGACATATTTCTAGCAAGAATGTCAGAGAGCAGTTTTTTTTTTTAATCTATTATTTGCTTTTGTAGCCAGAAGGCAGTACAGTGGTACCTCGGGTTAAGTACTTAATTCGTTCTGGAGGTCCGTTCTTAACCTGAAACTGTTCTTAAACTGAAGCACCACTTTAGCTAATGGGGCCTCCTGCTGCCGCCGCAGGAGCACAATTTCTGTTCTCATCCTGAAGCAAAGTTCTTAACCTGAGGTACTATTTCTGGGTTAGTGGAATCTGTAACCTGAAGCATATGTAACCTGAAGCGTATGTAACCCGAGGTACCACTGTATATATTAAGAAGGGAAACCTGGAAAACCCCAGGGAGTGAATGCCGTTCCTCTGTCTTAGAAAAAAGCTGTTCTGTTATACTCATGCCCTCCCTAGCATCAGCTTTTCAGGGTGTGGAACTGCAGAAACGATGTCTGGTGCATTCAGGGACTCCCCGCACCTTCAGCCCATACTTACCCCGTGCCTCTTAAAACTCCCTTTGTTTTCCACACCAGATCCATCTTGCTACATCTCAGCAGATCATGTGTCGGCGAAAGGCCGCAACAGCAGTTTGCAATCCCTCCCCGCGTTTTCCCTACGGACTCGGATGAGGCCAGTTCTCTGGGCCCTCTGTGAATCCGTCTCCGGCATCTCCCTCCTCAGATGGGAGCAGCTGCCTGCGTCGTCCGCCCCCCCCCCAATCTCACATCCCAGCTGTAAAAGAAAGGGCTGCCATTTGATTTACGTCTGAGATTGGGGAGGTTGGGAGGGGTAGAGAAGGAAACTTGCATGTAAGACCTTTACCTCTCCAACCCCCCGCCCATTCTTCCCACCCCCCCAAATCCCACCCCACCCCACCAGTCTCTCTCTCTTTCTACTCTCCACTTGCTTGTGATTTAGTGACATTTCTCAAATTCCCCAGATAGGCAGCACCAGTACATTCCTTCCTGCTCTCTGGAAATAAATCCGAATCATCCCCAAGACTCCGATCCGGGGATCCGACATATGGGCGAAAGTGAAGAGGATGATTGGAAATTGGAAATGGCGATTTGCCATATATCAAGCAGGTATTTTGGTGGGGAGGAAATATATCTTCTCGCCTTATGGGATCTGAAAGAGGCTTTGGTCAGAAATCACGTAGAGGGCTTTCTCACAGGAAATAATGGATTAGAAGAGAAAATGGTTTTAAAGGCTGCCGGGGGGTGGGATGCTGCAGCACAAACAGGCTTCCTCTGAGGCTGCGGAACCTGGGCAAATAATATACGGAATTTTGTTCTCTTTCATCCAGTTATAGCTATTCCACCTGATATGATAGAAGCTACATATCACGATGAAAACAGCACTCCTGTCCTGAATTGTGCTGTGTGTGTCGGTACCTCAGCTTCAGTGGTACATACGCTTCAGGTTACAGACTCCACTAACCCAGAAATATTACCTCGGGTTAAGAACTTTGCTTCAGGATGAGAACAGAAATTGTGCAGCGGCGGTGCAGCGGTAGCAGGAGGCCCCATTAGCTAAAGTCATGTTTCAGGTGAAGAATAGTTTCAGGTTAAGAACAGACTTCCAGAACAAATTAAGTTCTTAAGCCGAGGTACCACTGTATGTCCATAAGCATAGCGATGTGACTTTAGAAACGCAACTCTCAATAGATCTCTATAGAGCCGTGTTTCCCAAACTTGGGTCTCCAGCTGTTTTTGGACTACAACTCCCATCATCCCTAGCTAGCAGGACCAGTGGTCAGGGATGGTGGGAATTGTGGTTCAAAAACATCTGGAGACCCTAGTTGGGGAAACACTGCTTTAGAACAAGGCTAGGGGACCAGCAGCCCTTTAGATTGCATTGGGTTTCAGTTCCCATCAACCTATAAGAACATAAGAAGAGTCTACTGAATCAGGCCAGTATCCTGTTCTCACAATGGCCACCCAGATGCCTGGGGGAAACTCCCACGCAGGACTTGAACACAAGAGCCCTCTCTTCTCCTATGGTTTCCAGAAACCTGTCAAAAGCATTACTGGCTCTGACGATGGTTAGCTGAGCATTATGGCTAGTAGTCACTGATAGCCTTATGCTGCCCGGATCTGTCCAGTCCTCTTTCGAAGTCACCCAAGTTGGTAACCATCCCTGCCTCCTGTGGCAGTGAGTTCCACAGTTTAACTATGCATTGCATGAAGGATTTCCTCCTCTGTCCTGAATCTCCCAACATCATTGGATATCCACAAATCTTGTGTTGTGAGTTCTTTGCTTTTTCCATGCCGTGCATAATTGTATAAACTTCTATCATGTTGCCTCTTACTTACCTTTTCTCTCAGCTAATAATAATAATAAAACCAACCCCAAACACTGCAAGCTTTCCTCATCCCATTGGTCATTTGGATTGCCCTTTCCTGAAACTTTTCCAACTCTACAATATCCTTTTTGCACTGTGTGAAGAAGTTCTTGCTTTGGCCTGCCCTGAATCTTCCAACATTCCCCTGAAGATCTCTCTTGTGTCACCACCATCAGTGTTTCTCATGTTGATGGGACCAAGAGAGGGTGCTCACCTGAGGATCTCAAAACTCAGGCAGGTTTGTATTGGGAGATAAGATCTTTCAGGTAAGCTGTGCCCAAGCCATTACAAGAGATTGTTGAGAGGGAGTTGAACTTCGATACGATACAATATCTTTATTGTCATTGTCCCATGCAGAACAATGAAATTGAAAAACTACATAAAACTACATAAAAACTACATAAAACTACATAAAACTACATAAAACTACTACAGAACTACATAAAACATTCAAAAACCCCCAAAAACTCTGAAACCCCATTTTAAAATGCACTATACTATAGAGACCCTTTATGCTGCGTTTAGAACCACAATTGCATTTGCATAGAAACGGTTTCTCAGGTGGCTAGTCCTGGCCTTTATAACCCTATACCTTCTTCCAGAAGGCAGAAGCTGAAAGAGATAATTTCCGGGGTGAGTACTATCCTGCGCTATCTCTGCCGCTTTATTATGGCACCTGGCAGCATAGATTTGATCTAAGGTGGGAAGAGTGCACCCAATTATTCTCTCTGCAGTCTTTACAACCCTGGATAGCATTGTTTTTTCCTTGGCCGTGCAGCTCCCAAACCACACACACATACACTCTCCACAGTGCAATGGCGTATCCCAGGAGTATCTTGGAGTAATGCACTGCTGAGCATCCACAGTTCCTGCCGCCTCCTGTGCATGTCTTTTGTGTGTGACTTTTTAATATGATACTAATGGCAGTTTTGCAGAAAAGTAGTGTTCGATATCTGCTCTCCCATGGCCCGGAGGAGGGCAGGACATTTATATGGTCCTCCAGAGAGGGCCATGGAGACCTTTAAAAATGACACCCAAGTTGGAGAGCCCTCATATTCAAGGAGACAGGTATACCGGTGACCTTCTCAACCCTTCTTGCAGTCATGAAGGCAGAACCTGAATGCCGGCCTGAACTCTCCCCTCCCATAACGAGCCGCACAATAGATCTGTGTCAACAGCGATTAGCCATCGCTTGGCACACCATCCATTTGCCATTTGTTAGGCCCAAACATGCCAACGTTGGTAATCTAATCGCGGCCTGGCAGCGGCCTCCTCCAGGTTAAGTGTATTAGAGGAGCCAAAGAAACAGCTTCTCCTGCAGGCTGAAACTTCCTGATGCAGACGGAGACCCCCCCTTCCTTTCCCCCGCTCCCTTTCCCCGAAGACCATAGAGGTCAGGACCTCCCCAGCGTGGAGCTGAGTAAAACACTAACAGAGAGAGACGAAAGGATATTGGAAACATATTCTCAGGACTCAGGCGCTTTGGAAATCTGAGAGGAACGCCAGGCGTTAAGTTGGAGCTTTCGGTGCTGGGTTAGGCTGGAGGCCTTTGAAAAAGAAGAAACCAGGGCTGAGCAGGAGTTTGATAAAGATATCAGCAAGGAAAGGGCATGCTTGGTAGCTAGCGGGGAAGGGCCGTAGCTCAGAGTCACAGCATCTGCCTTGCATGTAGAAGGCTTTCAGTTTCAATCATTGGCATCTCCTGGTAAGGTTGGGAATCTCCACTGCCTGAAATCCTGGAGAGGCGCTGCCAGTCAGTGTAAACAATACTGAACTATGTTTTTTAAGGAAGCCCTCTTCAAAATATATTTCTGACATGGGAAGTGTCATTGAAAGTCTACTCAAGATTGATCCGGAGTAGATTCCAGTGTATAGTTCACAAAATGGTCATAAATTCAATACATTCAGGGTTAGTACTGTCCATAAGAAATCCAGCTGCAGCAGACTTAACTCAAACATAAAGGTAAAGGTACCCCTGCCCGTACGGGCCAGTCGTGCCAGACTCTAGGGTTGTGCGCTCATCTCACTCGATAGGCCGGGATCCAGCGCTGTCCGCAGACACTTCCAGGTCACGTGGCCAGCGTGACAAGCTGCATCTGGTGAGCCAGCGCAGCACACGGAACGCCGTTTACCTTCCCGCTAGTAAGCGGCCCCTATTTATCTACTTGCACCCGGGGGTGCTTTCGAACTGCTAGGTTGGCAGGCGCTGGGACCGAACGACGGGAGCGCACCCCGCCGCGGGGATTCGAACCGCCGACCATACGATCGGCAAGTCCTAGGGGCTGAGGCTTTGACCCACAGCACCACCCGCGTCCCTAACTCAAACATACAATAACTTATAATAAGACTATATGCAGAACACCACACCAGAAAGAGAGAGAGAGTGAAACCCAGGCTCCTTCTGGCCTCACTATTATAGTCAGCATGATCTTGACAGAAAGAGATAAGAGAACCAGTTTAAACCAGTTGTACTCAGCTTCTCTGAGGAAATAACCCAAATATCACAAACCTTCTGCTTGTTTCTCTCACACAGAGATGCTTCCATAACCCTCTTGAATTAAGTAGAATAGGAAAGATCTCTACACATCAGATCAATACTTTCTGCACTAAGAAATGCAAACTGACATACTAAGAACATACAAAGTGTCCTGCTGGATCAAACCAGAGGTGCCTTTAGTCCACTATGCTGTGGTGTGGAGAGCCAGTGTGGTGTAGTGGTTAAGAGTGGTAGACTCGTAATCTGGTGAACCGGGTTTGCTTCCCCGCTCCTCCACATGCAGCTGCTGGGTGACCTTGGGCTAGTCACACTTCTCTGAAGTCTCTCAGCCTCACTCACCTCACAGAGTGTTTGTTGTGGGGGAGGAAGGGAAAGGAGATTGTTAGCAACTTTGAGACTCCTTCAAGTAGTGTTAAAGTGGGATATCAAATCCAAACTCCTCTTCTTCTTCTCACAGGGGAGAAGCAGATGCTTCAACTGAAAGCCTGCAAACAGGACCTGACTGCAACAACACCTGCCCAATTTGCGATTCCCAGCATCTAGCACTCAGAAGCATTATTGCCTCCAACCATGGAGGGAGAACATTGCCACCATGGCTAGTAGCCATTGATAGTCTTCTCCACCAATTTCTTCTTTTAAAGCCATCCATGTTGGTTGGCATCCCTGCCTTGCATTGGCGCGAATGCCAAACTTTCCCACTATGTGCAAGGACCCCATCAGACCGATACTCTTGCCTACTTTTTGCGGTCCACCACAGGCGGTAGGATCCTGGTGTCAGAACATCAGCCGAGAGGCAGAGAAGTCGAGGGCAGCAGTAGGAGCCTCATGGCTCATGTTTAATTTGCAATGCTAACAAACTTAAAATAATCACGACGGAGAGGAATGGAAATTAACATGTGGCCAGGGGATATGTTTCAC